CAAACATCACATCTCTTCCATGGGCTGAGGGAATGGGATTTAAGGGCAGCTCAGGAACACAAATGCTTCTACCCAGCAGCTTGGGGCATCTTCAACCCATTCCAGTTGGAACCAGCAGTAACTTCACCAATGAAAAACCTCCTAACACAACCCTGTACTTTGTGTTTTTGTGGAAGAGCACTCACAGCACATTTAAACACTTAACTGGAGGCTATTTGAAGTAAGACAGATGGACAAGCACTTAAATTTCCCAAGTCAGACCTCTAATTTCCCTAAGAGAGAATGGTTTTTGTTCCAGCTAACAGGTTTCAGTGTTGCTGGCACCAGGTTCCCCATAAGGATTCCATTTAACACAGCGATCAAACACGTCCAGAGTGGAAATGTATGGACTAAGGCAGAGACCTTGAAGTCTGATGCTAAAAAAAAAAAAAAAATTAATAAAAGCTCTGCCTTCTCAATGTGGATTCCATGACTGTCTGAGATCGTCCACAAACTTCTGTTAGCCCAGGGCCACTCTGAGCACCAAAGGAGATCCCACAGGCAGCAGAGAGTAATGTGATGAAAATGACAATTCTCTCTTTATGAAGATCCAAGAGACTCCAAAAATTAAGAAAATGACAATTATCTATTTAGGAAGATCCAAGAGAAACTCCAGAAATCAACACTTCTAGTCTGATCCTTGTTCAACATGGACAAAATCAAGTCTGTTTAAATAAGAGGAAAGACTAAACTGGGTTAAGCATTAGGATATTCATTTCCCACAGCAGCTTTTTTTTTCCCAAGCAAATTCCCAAAAAAACCACCCTATAAAACTGGATTCCCAGTGAGAAAGTCTGACTCCCTAGCCCTACCTTTCCTGCTGATGAAGGAGCACTCAGTTGTCCACAGAATGCTTTGAAATCCTTGGATTAGCATTAAAAGAAATGCAATTAGCAACTTCTCCAGTAGGAAAAGGTGTTTAGTTAGAAGTGTGCAGGAACTGGGGGGGATGTAGCACGTTGCAAACAGGGAGGGAACAGCATTTCTGGGGACTTCTGCTGGGGCTTGTAGCTCTGAAAAATGCATGTGGAAATATCAAAAGCTTTCAGAATGCTTTGAAATCCTTGGATTAGCATTAAAAGAAATGCAATTAGCAACTTCTCCAGTAGGAAAAGGTGTTTAGTTAGAAGTGTGCAGGAACTGGGGGGGATGTAGCACGTTGCAAACAGGGAGGGAACAGCATTTCTGGGGACTTCTGCTGGGGCTTGTAGCTCTGAAAAATGCATGTGGAAATATCAAAAGCTTTTCAAAGCCTAGTGAATTCCTCCTAGGTTTTGGCCTAATTGATTAAATTAGTGTAAGAGGCACTTCCCAGTAACAACTGCAGATTTTATGAGGTATGAAGAACAGTGTCTGGACACAGGCACAGAATGGGATTAACACATGCACAGGGCACTGGGGCTGTGGTTTCAAAGGCTTCTGCTGTGTGCCGAGGGAAAGAATTTACCTCCTGAAACAGAGCTGAGACCAATCAATTCCAGAAGGAAGAATCACTTCAATCCAGAATCAAAAGCCTTACAGAGCAGCATTCTTTAATGCCAGCAATTAATGCACGATGCCTGTTCTACGGGAACAAATGAAAGAGCTTTTCTCAAACCTCATTACTTAATAAGTCCTGCAAATAACAGAGTGATTTTAAAATCTCGATCCCTCCTGCTTCCTTGCAGCTGTTTCAATACCTTCTCAGAAGGAGATGGAGGAAATTTCAGAGGCACACAAGACTAACCTCAGAGAAAGGGCTGCCACGTGCCCCAACTGACCATGGAAGGGTGAGAGGGGCAAGTGTCACTAGTGACTGCAGCATGTCACAATGCTGTTTAACAAGTGCCTTGTCCAGTTTGCTGTGCCTCTGGTGACAGATGCTCATGACATCAGCCTGAATAGAGACTGCAAGAAACATCACAACTTCAGGGGAAAGCATCTCTTCAAAGACCCACAGGAAATTCAGGCTCTAATCCCTCCTCTTGCACTGGCAGCTGTGTGGGTATATCCTGTGTGGGGCACAGGCTGTAAAACCCTATTTTATCTCCTCATTTAGGACTGATGAAGCTGCTAGCATAGATCTGACCAACTGAGACACACCAAGCTTAATGCACCAGGGTGTAGAAGGCTGAAATAATTTTCAAAGGTTAGACTGCTTCCCTAAAGAAATGTGAGCAACACTTCACCTTCAAGACTTTCTCACTCCTTGGCCCTATGGAGGTTATATTCAAATCACCAACTCATGAGGATTTATACTCAGCCACAATCCAGATGCACTGTCAAACTCTGCATCTATTATCATTCTCCTCCTCCTGCTTCTAGGACAAAATGAATCTCAGCATGTTCTCTGTGTAAATCATCCACAGACAGATGTGCTTGCAGGTTAGATAAGGACTTTTCCTGCAACTCAAACCAAGTGAATCAACTTCTCTTGAATCCTTTCTAAGCTCACCTTGGCCTGAGCCAAGGGAAAAAAAGGAATAGTTAAAATACTGTCTGGAATTCCGCTCGGAAAGAGAATTCTTGAAACACTCTGGCCAGATGAATGTAAAACACTCCAGCAAATCTGCACAGGGTAAAGCTAAATTCTTACTGCAGACAGTTCCAGGCACTGAAAATGTAAATTATTACAGTGAAGCTACAAGGAGAGAGAGGTAGAACCCACAGAATCATCCCCAGCAGCAGCAGGATGGCTGAGCTGGTGAGTCAGGGCAGGAGATGAATGGGGTCATTACCTCACAGCTCAGGACAAGAATAGAAGTGATGCAATACTCACAGAGGTTTCTGGACTGGAAGCTTGTGATTCTTAATTAAATATTTGGAACTATGCCACTGTCACCACAGCCATTAAGAGAAGTCAGGCAATGCACAAAAGGGCTGGGGGATGATTAAAAAGTAAATAAAAATCATCACCCTAATGGCAAGGTAGAGGATAGAAACATCAGAGACAGATGTGTTCAAAGTGGCAGCACTGAAACCTCATTGCACCATTCCAGTCTGACTTCACAATCAATTATATTGTCATTACACACAGCTTATATTGTTCAAATATTTTCACTGTTTTTGCCTACAGCCCACAGAATAAATTAGCTCTTTTGGCGGAGAAGGGATTCCTTTTCTTGCTAAAAGCTTGGGCCAAGATTCTCAAACAGAACTAATGACACTGAGCCCAAAATCAGAGTCAATCCCTTGCAAAACATGAGTGACAGAGCCTTTCCCAGCTGGCAAACCCACCCTGTTTGGTGGGAGCAGAGAGGATTTTGTTTAAACCAACTGCTTGCATCATCTCTCTTCTGTCATTAGCCATCCAAAGATTTTATAACCTTGCAGCGGTTTTTAATTTCACATCAAGGCCATCCCAGTCATTTCATCTGGAGAACTGACTGGTTTTAATTCTTTCAGATATAACTACAGTACAGAAGGCAAAGAGAAACACATCAGTCACCCTTTTAACAAGTTAACAACAGCACGTTTTAGGCTCGAAATGATTTTTTTTTTTGCTAAAAACAAGAGGGAGAAGGGTCTGCTAGAAATGAATTTTTTTTGGCTAAAAACAAGAGGGAGAAGGGTCTGCTATACCTCTACATAGCTGTGATGGACAAAGCACCAGTCAGTTCTGTGTGTGAGGCATGAACTCACCTGTATGAGTCTCCATCTCTGTTGTAGTCACACAATAGATAATCTTTTCCTACCACCTTGTCTCGTGCAATCTTCAACGGCTGATCGACAGAGGAGAATTTTTTTTGGCTAAAAACAAGAGGGAGAAGGGTCTGCTATACCTCTACATAGCTGTGATGGACAAAGCACCAGTCAGTTCTGTGTGTGAGGCATGAACTCACCTGTATGAGTCTCCATCTCTGTTGTAGTCACACAATAGATAATCTTTTCCTACCACCTTGTCTCGTGCAATCTTCAACGGCTGATCGACAGAGGAGAGGAGATCTTCACAGAGGCTTGGGACCTGATGGTTTGGAGGAAAACAAGAGAAGACAACACATTTGAGTTATGAGATTGGCATCCCTAAGAATAGATTTTGTAATTAACAACCCACAACTGTCTTAAAGCCAAAACCCTTCAAGAAAACCCCAAGCAGCATTTAGGTTACAACCCAGCCCAACGCTCCCACCTCCAGTGATTGCAGATTTAATTACCTAACCACTGGTGTGGTCCAGTGCCCTTCAATACAGCCATGCTGGATCTCAGCTCCAGCCAAAGCCATCCAGTAAAGTGACTGTCCAGGACTGATGGATCAAGGTAAATATTTATAGTGGAGTGGGAAGGAGGGAGCTGCTGGAGTGTGTTTTTCACAGGCTCCCACTCTGGGTCGGGTTTAGCAGAGTTTCCAGGCACTTGGCCAAGCATTACCATGCTGGCTAATAAAAACACATGTCTCTGTGTGTGCACATGTGCAATCAAACACATCTCCTACACAGGTAGCTTTTAGCAGAGCCAGAACTCCAACTGCCTCCCTGTGCTTCACACAGAGAAAGACAAGCTCTGATTTTAACCATGGCAGAGAGGCTGAGACATCCTGCAAAGAGATGAGATGGCAGTTTGCAGCCTGAAGGCAAACCATGCTACATCCATCTATCCTTCCAAGCTACTCCATGGCCTCTTTGCTCTGGAGCTGATGGTGACCCTGTTATCATCAATATTACCACTTTGGTCATGCCAGCAGCTTCCTGCAGGAATTCCATCTCCTCTGCACATACTTCTGACCCAATCCATCCAATCCTCCCCAACAGGGGAGGTTGAGGTTGGTTATTAGGGAAAGGTTCTTCTCCCAGAGGAGTTTGGGCACTGAACAGCTCCCCAGGGCAGTGGTCACAGCCCCAAGGCTGACAGAGCTCCAGGAGTGTTTGGACAACACTCTCAGGCACTCAGGTTTTGGATTGTCCTGTGCAGGTCCAGGAGTTAGATGATCCTTGTAGGTCCCTTCCATCTCAGGCTATTCCATGATTCTCTGACCTGAGGGACCATCAATAAATCATTCCTGAAGCTGTTATTACAAACAATTAGTGTATTGTGTGTTTCCTGCTGGAAAAACATTCCAGATTTCACTGCAAGAGACAAAGACTAAAGCAAAATGCCCTTTCCCAACAACACAACATGATCACAGGACAACTGGCAAGTTCTTGAATATAGTGGTGACAATGTGCTAATCAAATAACCAAAGAAAGAACCAGTGTGGAATCTCTTCTGCATTTCACTCTGTGTTGCAGAGATGAAAACCTGACTGAGAACATGAGGACAAAAGGCAATCAAGGGTAAAATGAATCATGAAGTGATGAATTCACAGCTCATAATAAATGAAAAGGGGAGGGAAAAAGGAATGAAGAAAGCATGGAAATGTGCTTTCTTCTCTTCCAAGCCATTGGTGCAGTGAACTGGTTAGTTCAAAGGAAACAAGTCTAGAAGAGAAACCACAAATTTGAGGTGCAACAGCTCCAAAACTATTTTCATGCACTAGATGGGACAGAAGACATCAAACTCCCTCAAAGGAAAACACTCCTAATCCCAAGTACAAGGCCATAAATACACAGAATAATAGTCAAAGTGTGCAGGGACATATATAAACCAATTTCACTCTAAAAGAAAAAAAAAAAAACATAAATGGCAAATGGCAAAACAAGTTGTGGCCTCCCTATCCCTGGGAGTGTTCCAGGCCAGCTTGGATGGGGCTTGGAGCAACGTGGGCTGGTGGAAGGTGTCCCTGCCCATAGCAGGGGGGGACACTGGATGATCCTTAAGGTCCTTCCAACCCAAACCAGTCTGTGATTCTGTGTTGCTAAGATGTGGCCAGCAAAGGATGCAACACCTGACCCACAAAATCACCCTATGAACATACCAAAAACAAGAGGCAAACCAAGACATGGTTGGTAAAGTGACAACATCCTTAAGTTTTAAAGGCTGAAAAAGCTAAAATATTAGTTGGAGCTTTTTTGCTTTGCTCTCTGTACACTGCAGCATGGTAATGAGTGAGAACTGGAGAGCCCAGATGAACAACAGTGAAGGGTTTAGATAAGGCTCAATGCTCTCATAGGAGTTCATCCTTTGAGACCTGGCTGAAGCAGCCTTAAAACCATTACAGCTCACCAAGTGAATAAAAGTGGACAGGAAGCAGCAGCTTTTAGGGAAATCTTTCCTTTCCCTGAGTACAGACAACCCTAATACTCCCCAGAGCTGCTCCAAATCAGCAGTGTCGTGGCACGAGTGAACTGCTGTATCTGTGTCCATGGCCTCATCTGGTTCCACTTTGTCTCTTCCTTCCCTTTTCCATTAGCTATTAATTTTGGGCTGACTCCTCAGGCCCACAGCAACTCGAGCTGTCTGCTTCAGTTTCAGAGGCACACAACCAGCCCCAGAGACCAAGAGCCACGTTCCAGCTTGCTCCAAAGGGTGACCAGCAGAACACATCCCTTCCAAGGCTGCTCCTTGGCCTTATGCCCATCAGCAGGGAGATAAGTGCAGGAAGAGACTCCTCACTCTGAGCTGTGTTTGGGATGAGTAAGAGATGAAAACAGAATTAGGGGGAAAAGTGGCTTTTTTTTTCCCAGGCTCTGTTTCCATTCCATTTCTGTGGGAACTGCCCTACCCTAGACATGTGGTAAAGGACCAATTCCTCAAACCCAACCACACACACACACAAAGCATTGCCACAGGAACCCCAAACTCCAGGAAGAGACAACTGCCCTGCAGAAAAGCCCCCAAGAACCAGCTGCATTTCCAGCCCTTACAAAAACCAACACAAACCACTTGTAGTTTAACTTTCTTTTCAAACCAGCACAGGCCTAGTGAGTGGTTTCCACCCAGTGGGAGAGCACAATCCCATCCTGACCAGAAGGAACTCAGCACATTGTTTTAAGGTGCAACCTAATGAATTTTTGTGATTTAAGAGTGTACTAAAGTTACCTCTGGATGATTTGGCAACACATACCCACGAGGAGAGTCACTTTCCCACTTTCTAAGGGCTGTGGCTAATCTTACAGCACAACAGTGACTGCATTATATCATACACTCACCAGAATATAATACTGCATTATAATCCTCTATTGTAACAGCATATACCCATTGTCCCTTTGTACAGACTCCACAGGACCTCAGGCAATCTATTCTTTTCTCCTTTCAGGGTAAGACAGAAGAAAATCCACTCCTCTATTTTGGAAGTATTAGCAAATTTCAACAGTATTTATAAAAAGAACATGCATTCCAGCTGATGGAACTCCTCATGTGAGCCTAATTATTGGAAAAACTTCCAAGTGTGGCACAGTTAACCCAAGAAAATCATTTTAATCTCATTTATTACATCAACTTGCAACAGCTGCTGCACTTCCCAAGAATGAATTTGCAAGATTTATGTATCCTGGTCTTCCTCTTCTCCTCTAGGCAACTGCTTCCAAGGCAAAGGCACTAATTTGGACAAGGCAATTTGCAGCTTTAAACACTTCAGCTCCATGTTCATGAAACTGATTCCTTCTGAATTTAGGTCCTTTGAATTCTTTTCCATGTCAAGTATCAAATCCCCTTAAAGCACTTCAAATTACTGTTGTGCAGACTTGCAGAATTCCGTTTATCTTCTGATCCCAGCAAAGACAACTCTGCTAAGAAGGCAAGTGATCCTCTGAGTTTTCAGCCTGAAACAGTGGATTTGCATTGTTGACTGTCCTTGTTAGCTTATTCTCTGTTAACTGAAGAGTCAAAATGCACTTAAGTGCCCTGAGCACATATCTCCAACAGTCATTACACATGGAATTCTGACTTAAATTTAGACACACAAGAATTAACCCACTCCTCGGGCCAAACTGAAATGCCAGAGCAGTGATTTTGCCCAATCCATCACTGCACTATAAATAAATGTCACTGAGATGAAAACATTGAAGCGATGAGAGTTGTTTTATAAGCAAAGCCTCAGCTCCCATCTCTGTTTTGACACAAGTTTTTCCCACTCTAAGCAGGGGAAGGGCAAATACAGAACACAATCTGCACCTTGGAGCTAAAGGCCAGTAGGAATGTCATCTGGCCCATGGTGTACTTACTCTGCACCCTAATGCACTTGTGTTTCCCCCAAATAAGCACTCAATCATCTATGCTGGTGGCTCTGTGTGGAGTCAGCAAGCAAGACCACCCTCACTGGAAATTAGACAAGAAAAAAAAAAAGGATCTCTGGGGGTGCAGCCTCAGCTATGCAGCCTGGAAGGAACAGCAGCATCATTCAGGGCACTGTATTGGGAGCTTTCTTTATCCAAAGAGATATACAATGAACATGTAGTGCAGAGGAAAGAAATCCTGAATGCAAAGTGAGTGGAGCATACTGTGCTGCATGTTGAACAAGGATTCTGTTGTCCTGTGTAACAGGATTCTCCATCAGAGCTGCCCAGGTATGTGGACAGTGTTTTAATTAAGTCAACTGCTCTGCTATCAAGACAAATAATCACTTGTGCCAAAGTGGAAACCATACACTTTTGGGAGTAGCTAACCTCAGTCATTCCTTCTTGGCTCACTTCTTGCTTAAAGGAACTTGTTAGCAACTCAACAATTGTTTCTGAATTACTTTTAAAAATAGCATTAAACAAGCATCTAAAAAAACTCTACAGAGGAAAGAGGAATGATACTTCAGCTCTCCATGTCTTACACACACTCCCCATCCTTGCCTGAAGTCCAATAAATTCTGTCCCTTACATAGTCAGGACAGTTAATATTTTGGCTTAGTAGCTACTCAACTCGAGTACACTAAGGTGGTTGTTTCCTTCTACAGCCTTGACTGGAATGAATCATGTCTACCACTGAACCAGCAATATTGCTGCTGTAATAGCTCTTGGAAATAACCTTTTTCCATGTTTACTCAGAGGTCAGTGTGTACTGACCTCCACAGGAACCTTACACACTGGAAAACTATGCTAAATGCAGCAAAACTAAAGATTAAGCCCTTTTTTCCCTTAAAGAACCAGGAGGAATGAGAGG